AGAAACCCGAGTATTAAATATTCTAAATTGATGTCATCTTTAAATTACCTACTTATTATTATTATAATATTAAGTAAGTTAGGTTAACTATTTATTTCAAACAATTGAAGTATATATTTTAATTTAATAATCACAAATGTGCTAACTACTTAATTTTTTCTAAGAAGTTAAAAAGTATTTTTGATTGAAAGCTAAAAAATATATATCCAAAACCCAGTTATATTTGTTAGCTTAAAAAGTAGACATTTTTGTAATAGACCCAAATAAAATAGACCTAATAAAAAAAATATTATAAACCCCAAATTAAAAATGTAATCAATGCTTATAAATCAAATATCTTCAAAGGACTTTGATATAAAATATATTTAATATTAACAGATCTTAGATGATACAAAAACGTGTCCGATATACGGTATATCTTTTCTCTGGGAGGGGGAACAAAGGATACGGGGATCCTGTCGAGGCAGTGGAGAAGAAGAAGAGGAGATACCAAAAAAAGGGAGAGGACATTCAATTCGTCGCGGGCGGCGCGCGACGTGCAAAAAACAAAAAGATACACCAAATCGGGGACGAATAAGATCGGAGGGGGGTTTCGTTTCGAATCGGTTTCAAATCGAGGAAGCGAGGGTCAGAGGAAACAGGACGCAGGACGCAGGACACATGCGTGCCCAAAATGATTTTTCCTAATGCAATTTTTTGTGTGTTGGCCAACGAGCGGAAGTTATAAAAAATAAAAAATGAGAGGTGCGCATTTTTAGGAGGGGAAATTTTTTGGTATTTGGTAAGAGGACTCGCAGATGGCAAATGATTGGTATTAGTGATGCCTGATCGAAAGGAATCCCATAAATATCGGAGAGCGGAAAGGGTGTTGAAAAAAGGAGGGTAAAAAATTAAGAACTTTGTAAATTTTATATAGTGTGATAAGAAATATTATTTTTCCCTTTTTAAATATTTATTTACCTGATAAATATGTTACTTATTTGATTGAATTTCTTACTTACTTCAATTTGTGGCATAACATTTATTTTCGAAGTTATAAAAAAATATTTTATGATCTAATATTATTTTCCTTTTTTATTAATGTTTAATTTTTATTTATTTTATTGATGAATACTTTCTTCTTTAAAAATCTCTTACTAAGTTAAATTGGCCATATTTAATGGATTTATGTAATCCATTCAATTTAGGGCTATTTTATTAGGTTTACTATTCATTTTTGCCCTGTCTGTTCACATACTCATATTTCTCCATTCACGATTCTCATCCATTCACATTTCAATGAATCCAATGATGCCACCTCCTTGGACTCGAAATTCATTCATCCACGATTCCATTCGCTTGGCCAACTCAACTCGAATCAACTCGAATCAACGAAGGCAACTCCATCGAATCCATCGATATAAAAATACCCCTTTGGAAGTCGCACAAATTACGTTCCAAAGATCAACTACCGCAATCGATCTGGCGAATTAAATTCCCTCAAATAAACAATCATCATCATCGTCGTCGCCGTGGAGATACCATCTCCATTTCCATCTGAGAAACAGAAACTCGACGTTTCCAGATCATCGCTTTCAATTTGTATCAAATATCTTCAAAGGACTTCGACTTTGACGGGGCCTCGATTTTTTCATCTTTTTTTCCATTCATTCCTTCCCTTTGTTTGCATCCTCCTCCTTCTTTAGCTCCTCTCTATTTACATTCGCTGTCGACTGGCGAATGCTGAATAGCGAATGGCGGGGAGGAAAATAAAGGACTCGGGACTTTAGACTTTGGAGAGGCACTCACATATTTATTTGATGATTGCCCTCTCATATCCCAATTTTCTTTATCTTTTCGGTTTTTTGTTTTTTGTTTTCCCCTTGGCGAGATTTGCGAGGCTCGCTAAATTGCATTCTGAACGCCCGAGCTGCGTTAAGTCAGAAGTCGATCAAGTGTGGATGCGTCGCGCAGATGTATCTGCAATCTGGAAACTGCATCTATATATCTATGTATCTGAATTCGTGGCCATGGCCACAGTGCGTTTCGTGAGTGTATTTTGCTTGGCTGATTTTTTAAACATTTTTATTTTATTTTGTATTTTTGCTTCCAAGGTGTTTTATTTATATTTTAAATACCTAATTTTATAATTAATTAATATTAAAAAAAATATTTATCAAGTAAATAAATACTAGAAAAAACAGGAAAAATAATATAATAATATCCTTGGCCAACATTCTTACATTAAAAATAAGTTCAATAAAACAAAATGATAATCTTTTAATTTTTTACTTGTAAATAAAGCTAAAATACTTCTAAAAAATATCTAATATTTAATTTATTCTTTTAATTGCTGAATATAAATCATATAAAATAACTTACCATCTCTACTACTGATTTATTTCCCTTTTCTTTTATTTTACATTTTTGAAACGCACTTTGCTCGCAGTTTGCGGCTTATACAACCCACCAGAAAAAGAGATAGAAAAAAATCGAAAGAGAAAATTCGTTTTGCAGCTTCGTTTCATTGCCATTTGTTTGGCATTTTCCAGATTTCTTGTTTTCTTGTTTTCCCATTTTACCCATTGTATTTTTCCCGAAAAACATTCAAGTGGAAATCCTTTATTGAGTGCGATATTCAGCTACTCCTATTCCCATTCCCATTTCGACAGTCCTCACTATTTTTGTTTGTTGCATTTAGCATGCAAAATTTGTTTTCAGTTCGGGCCCATTGTTCCGCTTCGGCCATTGTGAATTTCCCACTGTGCAGTGGCAACATTTCTCGGCTTCTGTTTCTGTTTCTATTTCTATTTCTACTTGCGTCTGCTGTGTCCTTTGTCTCGCTTCCTTTCAATTGCATTTGGCCGGGGCAATTTGCATGCCCCTTCTCCAGGATCCTAACTATCCCTATTCCTATCCCTATATCTATACATATACCAAATCCCCCTTCTTGCTTCTGTCTGCATACGCTGCATTGTCCACATCCCATCCATCCAATCATCATCATCGTGGTTGCGGAGCAGAATGTTTGCGGCCGGAGGATAATGAGTGTCCCTCGAGTCGGCAATTTGTCTGGATGCAAATCGGAGAATTATGGCTGATGGCCATAATTCGGCAGGCAAAAGTGAGCCACTTAAAGTCCAAATATTTGGCTCAAATTAACCCGAAACGGCAGGCATTACAAATTAATAGTTTTATCGGGGAAAAACAGCACTGTAAATGCCAAAGGAATCTAAAGATGAAAAGTTGGAAATGGTTGTTCTATCTTAAGGAATTTTCCCATATTTAATTAATTAAAATCCCTGAAATTAAAGTTTAAAAAGTTTCGCAAGCTAATAAGCAAATTTGCTGCATACATTTGGGGGTGCAGATTTCGGGGGGTTTTTTATTTTGGTTCTAGGGGAAGGTGGGTAGGTACATTGAAATAATTACAGAAGGATCCAGGGAATGATTCCGGCTCAAGGGATTTTAATTGCTGCACAAGGAGAGCTTATCTGTGGCAAAGTGTTGGGGAATCTGATTGCAAGATTGTGAAAAGATGTCTAGACCATCGAGTAAAGGGATTGCCTGCAGATAGTGGGAATAGGAAATTAACCTTCAGTTAAATTTCCAATTTAAAATGATTTTAGATTAAGTAAAAAAAAAAGAAAACCAGCTGTTTTCTAAATTAAGCCAAATGTCTAATAAGCCAAATTATAAATATAAATAAAAATACAACATTTAAAAATATAACAAAGTAATTGCCTCTTAACCTCCGGTTAAATTTAAAATTTGAAATGATTCTGAAATGTGTAAAATAAAAACAGAAGCAGATGGTTTCTAATGAAATTTATAAATATAAAAATATTTAAAAGCTTTGCCATAACGAACAATAAATTTGTTAAAAACTGTAAGCTTTTAATAGCCGGAGAACCAATCAAATATTACCAAAAAAAAAGTCGCCATTATTTACAAGTGCATTATTCACATGGCAACAAGGAGAACAAAAACAAAAAACCAAAAAAAAGTACAAATAAAGTGCGTTTATTTTATGGCCGGCAAATCAATCAACTTTATTAATTACAAGTAATTAAAGTTTAATTAAGAGCCCAGCAGGATGCTTCTTCTTGCTTTTGTTTCAAGGTTGCAAGTGTGCGTGTGTATGTATGCTGTGTGTGCGTGTGCGTGTGCGTGTGCTTTTGTGTGGAAATAAATGCAAATATTTATTTGGCAAAAGTCAGAATTTGCGGAAGGGGGCGGTGTGAAGTGGGCGGGGCAAGAACAAAATGGTGGCAAAAGTAGTGCGATATTGTTGTTGTTGCTGTTGCTGCTTTTGCTGCAATTTTGTTTGTCTGTTTAATTAAAGCAATATGTGCCTCCAGGAAAGGAATGTTGGGTTAATTGACTCATCACTTATACGACAAACGAAGCGCAAACAAACAAACAAACAAGCGTACACACACACACACACACAGGAGGCGGAAGAAGAAGAGGAAGAAGAGCGTAGCAAAAAGCAGCGCAGTCAATGGGAAAAATAAAGAAAAAGCGGGGCAAAAAGGGGCGGGGCCAGCGTTTTGACATTTTGAAATTCCAGCTTGGCGCAATCAAAAGTGTGGATGGCAAGTGGAAGGTAACGCCCACACAAAATAACGGTAATAGTGGGAACAGCAGGTTTATATAAATGTGTATGTATATGTAGACTATGGAAATGGCTAATAAAAGTAAAATGTAGAATACTCAATTTTACAAGGCAACCAGCGCCATCTGGCGGGCATTTTCGTTAGCTACTCTTTGTAGCACAGACAGCAACCATTGCACCACAAAAACACTAAATATTGTGACTTCCTAAAACATTTCAAAACTATCAAAAAAATAATATTAATACTAATACCAATTTTCCAATCTTAACATTTCTACAACATCATATTGAGATATTTCTAATTTATTGTACATGTTTCAAATTAACTGATTTTTTGAATTTTCATCTGGCAACGCTGAAGTGGCGTACCACCACTAACAAAAATCATCTGGCAGCCCTGAAGTGCTGTGCCATCACTAACAAAAATAATCAAAATAAATTAATTTCAATTTAATTGCACCGCGAATATGCAACCGCTGCACCACCGCCCCCCGCCTCCGCCCCTGTGACAGTGTGCAGCAATGGCCACGCCCCCGCCGCCCCCCTTTCCAGATGTGGACGCAGCCGTGGAAGTGGACGCAACAGCAGGCGACGCAACAGCGGAGCAGCCGCAGCCGAATCCGCAACAGCAGAAGCAGAAGGAGAAGCAGCAATCGCAGGTGGCCAGGAATTCGCTGCTCGCGGATCTGCGGAGATCGACGAACTTCTGGTTCCGGGCCAAATCGACGGACGGACTGCAGTTGCTGGCCCAAAGTTGCACCCGGATTCTGCAACATGGACTGGTGAGTAAATCGCCCTGGAAATCCCCAGAACATCACGCACACCCTATCAACAGGGATACCCTTCTCTTTGGCGGGGCATATTGGTTGCAAGACGCGTTTCGTAACTCTTATTACGCAGATAACCCGTTTTATATGATTCATCTGTTAATATTGTTTATTTATGTGTATAAAAAAATTCAAAAATATTGCAATATATCATCATAAAATATTGTATATATATATACAAACTATTATTTAGCAATACAGGTTTATTTATTATTTCTAAGAACTATTTGAATAAACTTTCTTAAAATTACTTATATTTCTGGTAAATATAAACACACCCTATAAACAGGGATACCCTTCTCTTTGGAGGGGGCATATTGGTTTCAAAAGGCGTTTCGTTACTTTTCATTACGGAGATAACCCATTTTATATGATTCATCTGTTAATACTGTTTTTATAAATATATTAAACAATTAAAAAATCTTAAAATATATCATCATTAAGTTTTGTATTAAAACCAGAATATATATATTCTATATATATAGATAAAAAATTTAAAGTTGATTTCATTTCTAATAAATATTTGAATAAACTTTCTTAAAAATATATAATTTAAACCTGTTTCTGGTAAATATAAAACTTAAATGGAAGACAGTCTATTTTAAAAATTCTTGCTACTTACATATATGTAAATCTTGAAATATTAGCTTAAAAATGACTATAAAACATCTTAAAATTTGGCTTTTTATATAAGTATATAATTTACTTAATTATAAATTTATTCTATAGAAAAGGCTTCCTACTTATAAATCTTGAAATATTAGCTTAAAAATGGCTATAAAAATGCTTAAAATTTATAAATAAAGATTTTCCATTGCTTTTTATATAAGTATATAATTTACTTAATTATAAATTGATTTTGAGTTTTAAAAAAACCAAGAGAGGGTATCAGCTAGCCACATCTTTTGCACTCCCACTTCCCCCATTGTTTTGCAATCGAATTGTATTTATGCAACGCCGCACTCTCTGTATTTTCTGTATATTCTCTGTTTTATCAGCTGCAGCCCGTGGAACTGCGTCGACTGGCGGACGACTTTGAGTTCCTCTTGGCGAGTGCGGGAAATCGCCCCCCCGATTGCCCCCGAGGAGGAGTCAGTGCATCCGGAGTGGAGGAGTTCCTGTCCGAGTGGACCAAGCGCTGCCTGCGCGCCCGCTGCCTGTCGCAGTGCCTCCAGTCGCTCGTCGCCGATCCGGAGCTCATGGAGCTCTACTATCCCAGCGAGGAGGCCTTCCTGCGGCGCTCCTCGGATGCCACCGCCTTGTTCGTCTGCCTCACGGCCGTCCAGCTGAACCAGAGCGGCCTGCTGGGCCAGCTAGAGGTGCGGCATCAGCTGCGCCATCGACGCACCTGCTCGCAGCCCAACTTCAGCGTTTCGCCGAGGTTGCAGGTGGTTCCAGAGGAGGAGCAACTGCAGCGGCGCAGCTTCCTGCGGCGTTTGAAGAGCCTGCCTAATCTCGGCCAGGCGGTGGAGGAGCTGGAAGAGAGGGGAGCCTCCTCCAGGCGGCGCTGCCAAACGTTCAGCAGCTCCAGGAGTCCGAAAATCAGGGAGGATAGCTCCTGCTCCAGTCCAGCTAGGCGCATCCAGCTGATCAACTGCGATGACATCAAGATCTGGACGGATCAAACAACTCAAGCTGCGCCAGTGGAGAAGCAGGAGGCATTAGAAGCACCCAAAACTGCCTCCTCGGTGGGCAGCTATCTGGGCAGCCTCTTCAGCTCGCCTCCCCTCTACACCAATTGGTTTCAGCGCGGCGTGGGCGAGGATTTGAATGCCTCCGGCGACGGCGGCATGCTGGACACCTTCCTCCCCGTCAACGGACGCAAGCTGAAGAAGCAGCAGACGCTCTTCGAGGGCGTCAGCATGCTGGACGAAGCGGCGGCTACGTCGGCGGCTCCCTCGTCGCCCTGGGACATTCAGGGCTGCTCCTCCACCACCTCCACCTCCAGTTCGGTGAGCCTCACGCCGGGCAGCGCGGACAAGATGGACCAGCAGTCGCTGGCCTCCTTCCTCCAAATGTCCCGGCAGACGCACAACAATACGCAGCTGGAGAAGGAGAATGCCCACTTTCGGATCTCGGAGGCCTGCATCACGGCCATCGAGCATGTCAAGTGGAGCATGTCTGCTAATCCAGGGGTCCGAATGAATCCCTCGGAACCGAATTTAATGCCCTATGTGGAGCAGATACCAGGTGCTATCCAAAATCACAGTGCCGAAGCGGTGGGCCTGCAACTAATCAGCCGCTTTAGCGACCAACAGCTGCCGCGTTTGGGCCACCTCAAGTGGTTGGTTTCGGAGCAGGAGGCACCGCAGCAACTGCTGCCGCTGCCCCTGCCAAAGGAGGAGCAGGCTAGCCTCACCAGAGGCACCTCCAGCTGGGCGCCGCCGCGCCAGCAGATCATCTTCACCGAACATCCCGCCGAGAATCGCGGCAAGCTGCTCGAGAAACAAAACCACCGCTGTGCCGGCTGCGGAATGCGGGTGGCGAAGCATCTGCAGCAGCACTTTCGCTACTGCAGCTACCTGGGGAAATATCTGTGCACCGGGTGCCATCGCAACCAGATCTCGGCGATACCCGCCCGCATCCTGCGCTCCTGGGACTTTCGCTGCTATCCGGTGTGCTCCTTCGCCTACCGCCTCATCGAGCAGATGTACGCCTTTCCGCTCTTCCACGTCCCCGATCTGAATGCCCAGCTCTACAGGCACAAGGAGCTGGCCAAGGCGCGCAGGAAGCGACTGCAGCTTAGGGCGGTCAAGGGATTCATAGCCAATTGTCGGTTTGCAACGAGGTTGGTAGTTCACTCTTTTAAATAGCCAACTAGTTATAAACGTTACTCGTGGAGTAAAAGTATGTAACAGGGAGAAGGAAGCGTTTCCGACCCTATAAAGTGTATATATTCTTGTCCGTCCGTATAAACGCTGAGATCTCGGAAACTACAAAAGCTAGAAGGTTGAAATTTCCCACACATATTCTTGGGCTTCCCACGCGGCGCAAGTTTATTTCAGCTGGGGCGCCACGCCCACTCTAACGCCCACAATCGCCCACTAACGATTTGGCGCCCACACCTTTCAAGATTTCCGAGAAGTATAAATGCAATTTTGTTGTGTATTTTTATACCTATCGAAATGTAAAAGACATTTTTTAAATCGGACCATTTATTTAAAAGTTATGCGCAATCAAAAAAAATTGTATTATTCTCTTGTTTTGTTCTTAACCCATTTTCCTTGATCTTGCAGGGAGCAGGCCTTCTTCACGGCCATTCCGGCGCACATCACCCAGGATCCGGACATGTGGTCCATGTGCGACTTCGTGGACGTGCAGAACACCAGCATGAATCGCTCTATCAAGGAGGTGATTGCTCTCAGCGAGCAGCATGTCCACAACTGCGTGGTTAGTGATCGGAATGGAATGATTTTACCTAATACTTATTGTTGTATATATTTTAAATAGCTTTGCACGGGTCGTGCCTTCCTCTGCGAGCACTGCAAGGGCGGCGAACTGATTTACCCGTGGCAGCGGAAGGTGCAGCGATGCGAGAGATGCGGCGCCTGCTTCCACAACGCCTGCTGGAAGATCAGCAGTCGGAGCCGCAGCCTCGTCGACCCCTGTCCCCGGTGCTCCCGTCTCCAGAATCGAGCCAGCTAGCATCCGGTCAACGTGGAGTTGGGAAAACAACCCAAAAATCGAAGGGGTGGTTAGAAAGTGAAGCCAATATTCGACTTGGAAACTATGGGATTAAAAACAATTTTGGTATTAGGGTTAGAATATAATCCTCTCGGAAGTTGTATAGTAATATTTACATTTTTTTTTTTTGCATCACTGATGGTATTGTTTTTAATTAGTTATGCTAGATTTGTTAATGGATTTAAGAATAGGCAATATGAGTCTCAAATTCACATTCTTTGGGCCAAAAAGTCCTATAAATCTTATTTTTATTTTATTTGATATTTTTGTCTTGCATTCTTTAAGAAATTTTTGGTTGAAAATATCTGTAAGAATGTTTGAAAATTCCGAGTTTCTCTTTAAAATGAATTGAAATTCATATTATCTGTTTAGGCCTTTAAAACCTTTCTTAATCCCCAGTAATAAATTAACAAAGAAAAAAGGTAAAGAAGCCCAAAACAGATATTTTGCCTATAGTTTCCAAGATCGAATTATATAGTGATTAAATACATTTGCATAATAACTACAATTATTTAAACAAATACTGTACATAACCGTGTAAACTACCAAAACTGTTACGAGAATCGTTTACCTCAAGCGAAAGATAAGAACCCATGTTGATTTTATACATATATAACAACTACGATATGAATATTTATTGCATACTTTTATTGTATGATTAAAAACTTTATTTTCTTAACCGTCATATTGACTCAGTTGCATTATGTGCGGTTTTTGAAGGTAAGTATAGGGATTTATAAGTAAGAAATATTTGAAAGATAAGAATGGGAAATTTTTTTTTTTATTTGTTTTTCTTTTAACATTTTTATATTTTTACATTAAAGTTTAAGATTTGAAAATCCCGAAGATCCCATTTTAAATTCTAGTTCCGTTCCGCAAAGAACCAGTTCCTTGGTGTTTTACCGAACGCGTTAGTGCATTCTGCTGGAAATGCGGGTACACGTCATTAGTTTGTGAATTTCCCTGAATTTAAAAAATTAGTGATGGCAGTTAGAGAAAAGTTTATAATTTAATTGTTCGTTTATAGGCTACATTTACTGCTTTTGTTCATATTAAACATCATAGCCATCAAAAACCCCCCACAAATCACGAACTACAGCTAGTTCGTGGCTTGGCGCACGCATAAACTTCGGAACCGGAGCGCTTGGAACTAGCTCAAGTTCATATGTTCATACGTGAAGTGAACCATGATTCCAATTTAGTTACCAATCGCAATCAATTCACCGCTGCGCGCATTGAATTAATCCCGTTCTGAAATCCCCAAGTTCGCTTCAATTTCGCGCTGTACATTTGTACATGATTTTTGTTCTTGTTTTTGCGCAGTGCGTGTGTAAATGTGTGTCGGTGCGCGGCGGCAAATGCGAAATTGCGAGCATAAATAAATGCCGTCGTCAATTGTTTGCTAATTAATTATCGGGGAGGCGAGTGCTGAGGAAAACCGGGAAAAGCGGCGACCGTCAAATAGAAATAAGCCCAACTAAATCAACAGGTAAATATTGCCAGCGAAATAAGATGACACAAAACTTCCACTTCCAAAAAACTCCGCTCTTCCTCTTCTTCGCACACACACGCGGAAACATGCGCAAATTAGGAGTGTGTGTGTGTGTGTATGTTGGTTATTAAAAATGTCTGTCGCCGCCAACGGAAAAAAACAAACACTTAGCAGGAAAGAACAACAACAACGCCGGCCGCTTGTCCCAAAAATCCAAAAACCGAAAAAAATAACAACCGAAATGCAAATGAATGAGCGAGCAGAGCGAAAAATAAAAAAGAGCATACAGAGCGGCGGAGGAGCGAGCGAGATAGCGGCAGATATTACATACATATGTGCTGTCTGCTGTTCCGTTAATCATAACTTTACAAACCCCTCCCTCTCCCACCCACTCAGCAACTTTTCTTATTCACGTGAATTTCACACTCTTTCTCCCCCTCTCTCTCGCGCTCTCCCCCTCTGCATCCATGTGAAGGTCAACGTTGAGTGTGTGTGTGTGTGTTTTGACCCTGCACTTGGAGCTGAAAAAATTATTTTATTGATTTGCTTCATTTTATTTCGCTGTTTCGCTACTCTTGCGGTTTCCTGCACAAAAAGCACAATCAAAACAGCTGATGCAGTGACTAAACTCGAAATACCCTGCAAAAGCAGGGTACCTTCATTAATTGTCGCGTGACAAGCGCCAATGAGAGCAGAAAAAGAGAACAAAAGAGAGCCCATACATAGATTGGGGAAGATAGCGCCATCTGTTGGGCAGGGGGAACATGCGTAAACGTAAACAATCCATACAAAACTGGGTCCCCAATTTATTGGAAATTACAGGGTATCTAGGCTTTGATTTCCCTTTGTAATGCGACTTGTTGAAAATCAAGTATTTATAGTAAGCTATCTCATTAAAAAAACATTTAAAATTTGAATATCACTTTATTAGGTAAACTATAAAAATACTTAGTGTTTTTCCTGTTTAAAATATTTGATTTATGAGTCAATTAATATTTAATTTGTTTTGAGATTTATGGGATTTATGAACAACCTAAGTAATCAAGCCCCAAATAAGAGTGTTCACTATGCGATTTTTTGCTTGCCTTTTAATGGTTTATTTATACTTTATTCGAGTCAGTGTGTTAATAGAAATAATCAATTGTAAATTGAAACGCCTTTAGAAAATTGCATCTTATTTTCTAATGCTTAGAAAATACTTAAATGCGGTCAACAAGAAGATTGTAATCATAAGGTTTACAGTAATTAATAATTTAATCATTTAGAAAAGTTAAAAAATATAACAAGAAACTGTTTTTTAGATTCTTAAAAATGTCCAAAATCATTGGAAATTTTCTGACAAAATAACAACCCAAAGAACCTTTGGGTATTTGCTTTATACAAGTTGAACATTCCAATTTCAATTAAACCAAAACACATATATTTTAGATACAAGTACAACTAGTCTAGTGTTTCGCACTTGCCTAGCTTTTAATCTATATATATGCACATACCCCCGCCTCCGACATTCAGGGGATTTGAGTCGTTAGGATATTTGTTATTTGGTCGATAGCTAGCTCCTGTTGCTCCTTCTGCCGCCTCGTCAACGTTGACTTGCCCATATATAATGCTAGTTGGATGGCCAGTTGGATAACGCGTTTGATGGATGGATGAGGTCATAGGTGGCTGGGAACTGTCCACTAAAACTCTAAAACTACTTTATTTCAATTTTTGAAATAATTATAACGATGTATTTTGAGGTTTTTCTAAGCTTTTCCAACCATCAGTCGCTTTGTTTTCCCCATAGATTTAATTAAAAATAGTTGTGGGAATTCAAGGTCCATCTGTTTCCAAAAGTACTTCGTATTTCGTCGACTAGTGTATCGTTTTGTTGACTTATTTGCTTTCGCTGGGGCCATCGGTCAATGCAATTACTTAACCACATTTATTTATTGCGGAGTATTTTGGTCCGACCGCGCATACGATATGTACATATACATGTACATATGAACTTGCCCATTTCACGGCCACTTGCAACCGCATAAATTCCGCTGATTCCACACGCCCACCCCAGAGACATTGATCCCATACCATCCCCATTCCCATCCGGACGTACAAGTCGTTCATCTGGTGCGATAAGCTCCAAATTCGATATCAACTAAGTGGAATTGCTGACGTTTCGCTTCAACATGATCTCGATAAGAGGAATTTACACGGCGAACAAAATGTGTAACACGAAAATATCATTAGATTTCGATGAGGAGACAATTGAAAATGTACTATTGATAAATTGTATTTCTTTTAATAGCGAATCTTGGAACTAATTGGAAGATAACCAATAGTTAAACTATTAGTTTCTGGAAAATATTTTTAAACAGAAATATAAATATTTAAGAACAGTAGTACTTAATTTCTAATTGGAAACCCCAATCTATAGACAAAGTCCGATTTTAAAGCTATGACACGAAATGGAAATTTTTATTTAACTTATGACACAATACCATTATATCATTATCCCACTATCAAGTGCAAACGTACCCTTTGAACGCGAAATTAAATAAAAAAAAAGCAATTTGCAAGACTCTCCTGATTCGAATCGGAAATCAAAGAGTCATTTGATAGCGGAAACATGACTGATTGTCATGTTTCGTTTTTTATCTGGGTGGAAACGCCTAACTTAGCCGGCCACGCCCCTTATCCCGCACCCAGATCGCACCCCTCCAAGGCCTCCGTTGACGTGCTGAAGGCACTTGAATCAATCCGCCACTTGAATTCGGCTCCGTTAATTTTCCACCCATCGAATCAATCCGAATCCAACGCCTTATCAATGGCCGAAAATAAAATCCTCTCCACTCTATGCAAATTCTATCATAATGATAACGCAAATACCGGGCTATAAATACGATTTTCCGTGTGTGCTGTGTTTACCCACCATTAGTTGTGTAATTTTATGCAGATAGTAAAAACGTTAAGTGCGATAGTGGACATGTAACCACAATCATTGCAGTGGGAGAAAAACGAAAATGAGAAGGAGACTTTGGAACTTTGGAACCCGAATTGGGAAGGTAAGAAAACGCAGATATCTCGAACTATAAACCATTTCTAATCTGTCTTTGCTTTTTAGGTCGGAACTGTAGGCGCCATGTGGATAACGATAGGCCTCAAAATTCCAAGAGAATAAGAAGAAAATTTGAAAAAGGATTTAGATAGCTAGATTTTAAAAATAAGGATAATAATTGGAATAAAAAAATCTTTATGAAGACAATGCAATACAATTGGCAGACACTGTGTCTTCGTGTGGAGAATCATACAAATACAAGATAAATGCATATGGATGTCAGAGAGATACAAAAAAAATATCATATATATCTTGGATAAGATAAGGACGAAAACATCAGGCGCTTCTCTATATGTCAAACAGAAATGTCGGTAAAAACTGGATAAAGCAAGTGGCTTTAATTAGTTGAATAAGATCTTATCAAGTGGCCTCAGCACGCAACATAAAAATATAACTGAAATGTGTAAATACGAAATGGATGTATATGTGAAACGATTTCTTTTAAATCCGAATTAAATGCAGGTCTAAAATAGGCATTATTAATTAAGAAATTGGACAAAAATCCATTAAAAATGTTCGATAAGATAGCTACTTTAATTGAAAACTGTTTGTTTGTTACCCCCAAGCGATCAAATCTTGCGAAGAATCACGTGAGAAGAAACGATACATCTATGTACGTGAAGTATTATATATATCAGTGACGTCGAGAGCAAAGTATGGAGCGAAATACGAAATAATCGGATATCAGATAAGCTATCGCTATCAGATGTATGTTATTTGGCATTTCTAAACGATGAAGAGGCCAATGACCAATGCATTTTGCAATTTTTAGCTGAGTCAAGTGGTTCTGGAAGTTTCTGGTTACCATCAAATCGAGGCCGAAAGTTCCTATAGAGAAAAAAAAAATTAACAAAAGATCAGATTGATATGTGCTGGTCAATTTTATATTTTTTAAAGATCAAGTTCTTCTTAAAGCTTATGTTTATCTTTTTTTACATTATTTTTTCAAAAAATTCTGAATTTGGAATATCAAATTGATATGTTTGAATCATAAATTGATATGAAGTAAGGTAGAATTGACCTCATTTCATATCGTATCTTTTTTCTGTGTAGTCTTCTAGCCTTGGATCGGATTGGGAATCGAAACGGAATAGGAATCGGAATAGGAATAGAAGTTATTATCTGGAAATGCTTTCGTTATGATCGATTCGTTTATTCGAGTCGCCGTCGCCCCATTATGTCTGTCGTAAATATGTAGCCCGAGTTCCTATCGCTGGCGATAAGCTCAAGCTCCTCACTTCTCACACGTCTGCCTTCTTGACACTTGCACCTGTACGATGTCTGTGACTATAGCCACAAGTGTATTCGTTTCTATATCTCTGAGTGCGTCGGTTGGCGGATTATAAAACTGCCAATTAAAATCATATTTGGTTTTATTGTTGGCAAATATTTAACATTGGTCGTCGGGTTAATCTGGCTCTAAGCAGTTCCATAAATCGATAGGAAAGTCATTTGTTTTATGGCACTCTTGTCTGGGTTTTGAGGAGTTTTAATTAAAATTTGTTAAGTGCATAAAGCATAAAGTTAAAGTGAGTTTCTAGTTTTAAGTTATAAACCAAAAAAACAAACTGTCATTGACCCAAAAAGCTGTGAAATGCCATTTAATATGTAACTTTCATACATTATGTGCTGGGTTTCCGAAGTTCTTATCTTAATTACCTTTCGACACCTGCCTAGAAATTACCTATTTGTTTACATACGTATATAAAATCCCATAAACGAGACACTTGCGGGGTATTAAAGTCGTTGATTATTTGGGATATAATATTATATTTTGGAATCCTTAGCCAGCCCTTACTTTTATTATGATCTTTAATCACTTATTCTTAGCAAATCTTTCCATCAAACCCCCATCATACCCAAATCGATTAGATTAATAGCCATATATTTTGTTGGCCTTCGATTTTTGTGGATATGCTCCCCTATAACACTTTTTTTTGTTGCCTCAATTGCAAGAATTTCCCTGCCAATCAATATTTAATTGCGCCAACCGTTCTCATTCGTAACCCGGCTTCAATTGTGTTTTATTAAAAGTAGAAATAAAGTGAAAATCAATAGATGAAAATTGCTTTATAACGAGGAAAATTGTGCAAACAAGATGACAACTTTGCGGTTCCTTCGACGCCTGAATATTTAAGCAGCGGCAAAAGAGGAGGTTTCCCCACTGCACAGAAAAAAAATTGACAAAAGATCAGATTAATATGTGCTGTTCAATTTTATTTTTTTTAATATTCATATCATTTTGATATGAATAAGGATTATGTTTATCTTATATTACATTATTTGTAAAAAAAAAACTAAATTTGGTATTTTATATGTTATAATAAAATATCAAGTTGATATTTTTTTTTTTTGTTGATATGAAATAAGGTAGAGTTGACCCCATTTCATATCGAATTTTTTTTCTGTGTGAATAAAGACATTTCTCCGACTTCTGTCTGCCGTCCTCCAACGCACTTTAATTACACAAATTGCTAATCAAACGCCGATGGGCGGTGGAAAATGAAAATGCATTGGGCAGCGGTGTCAATTTTCCACGGGAAATGGAAAAGGGGAGGGCGGGAAGGGCGGATCCCCAGCACGCGAATTGCTAAACATTTAATTGATTCCGTGGCCCTGAATCGCTGGCTCCCGTTTCCCTCCCGATACGGGAAATTACCGCTTTTAGAAACCCGATATTACTAGATATATCAAGCGTACAAATAGGACAAGCAAGTGGAAAATAAAAACTATTGATGCCATAAAACAAAGACTGATCAAAAAGTACCGATCGAAATACTAAAATTTCGATTTGTATGGGAAAATATATAAATTCTATTGAATGCAATGGGAAGCTCAAGAATTCGCGTTTCTAGTTTTTGAACTCAATATGATAATTATACTTATATATATTTTAAAGATTGATTCAACTTGATTACTTCTGATTAATTGCCATAAGAAACTAAAGAATTCGCGTTTATTTCAAAGATTTATACATTTTTCAATTCTTCTTGAAATAAAGTCACTTTTCATACACCCGACTATATCGCAATCTTTACCTCTTCCAGGTGCAACTCTCCAACTCGGATTTAATCAATCCGCGGATCTGAAGAGGAGGAGCAGGCGTCGGTCGTTGGAGGCGCCGGCATAGAGAACTTTTCCGAGACGCGAGCGCCCAGCGGAGCAGTCGCCACCACGACGTCGACATCGCCGCCGCCGCCGCGAGCCGCGCTGCTGTCACCAGCCGAGCATTTGGACGCCAGCGCCGACGATCGCGGGCGTGTCTACAAGCTCCGGAAGAAGAAATACCTGAACGCGGCCCACATCACATAGGGATTCCCAGGAGGAGGAGACGGACTGGGTGCTAGGAATATCGGTGCTAGGAGTTAGGATTAGGAGTTCGAAACTGGAAAAAGGTTGGGCTCACTTTTCTTATTGTTAAGGGATATTTTAAAGATTAATTATACCCGTTACTCGTAGAGTTAAAGGGTCCGTCTGCCTGTCCGTTTTAACGCTGAGATCTCGGAAACTACAAAAGCTAGATAGTTGAGATTTCCCACACATATTCTTTGGCTTCCTACGCAGCGCAAGTTTATTTCAGCCGATCGCCACGCCCCCTCTAACGCCCACAATCGCCCACTAACGATTTGGCGCCCACACCTTTAAAGATTTCCGAGAAGTATAAATGCAATTTTGTTGTGTATTTTTATACCTACCGAAATGTAGAAGACATTTTTCAAATCGGACCATTCATTTAAAAGTTATGCGTAATCAAAAAAATTGTGACGGGTATTAGATAGTCGGGACACCCACCCGACTATAGCGTTCTCTCTTGTTTTAATTTGATTACCATCTTAATATATATAAATATGCATTCTAATTAAACATTATTCATTGTCTATTTCTAGCATAATTAATAACCAAGAGAAGGCGACCGAGCGACAGCAATGCCCGTACAATCCCCCATCGAGATCAGCAACCGTGCCATCGAGCACATCGACGATGTCGATCCGCTGGAGTACCACGGCCACTGGGAGCCGGTGGGCGTGGCGCGGGTGCAGAACACCGGCACCTCGGCCATGGTCACGTTCAGCAAGCGCAAGCAGCAGCCGTACATTATCGGCGGTGCCTTGGACACGGACATGTATGTGTTCGAGCAGCTGCACTTCCACTGGTCGGACTGCGATGAATCCGGCTGCGAGCACACGCTGGAGGGCATGAAGTACTCGATGGAGGCGCATGCCGTTCACTACAATGCCAAGTACAAGGACTTCGCGGAGGCCAAGAACAAACCGGACGGCCTGGCCGTCGTCGCCTTCTTCATTCAGGCCTGCGGCGAGAAGGACTGTCCGGAGTTCAAGAAGATCACCGAGGGCATCCGCATCGTTCAGAAGATCCACACGAGTGCGTCGCTGGATTCCGGTGCGTATGGAATGATTTTTCCCGGGGCTAAAATAATCAAAAATAAATTATTGTAAAATCTGTTAATAACTCCTTAATGTTATCTAATTTTAAATTACGAGTTTTTACCATATAATTCATGTATTATATTATTCTATCTATCCCTTAATTATTTGTGCTATTATCTTGTATTTCCTATACCGATTTTTAAATAATTTATGTATTATATTATTCTATCTATCCTTTAATTATTTGAGGTATTATCTTGTATTTGCTATACCGAATTTTTAAATTTTTTTTGAGGCATAATCTTGTATTTTCTATACCGAATTTTAAATAATTCATGCATTATATTATTCTATCTATCCCTTAATTATTTATTTAATATTACCGAATTTTATTATTCTATCTATCTCTTAATTATTTATTTAATATTACCGAATTTTATTATTCTATCTATCCCTTAATTATTTGAGCTATTATCTTGTATTTTCTATACCGAATTTTAAATAATTAATCTATTATATTATTGTATCCATCCCCCATTTAGATTGCCTATCGTGGATTGGTCTGCAGGAGCTGAGCAAACATTATTACACGTACAAGGGTTCGCTGACCACGGCGCCGTACTTCGAGAGTGTCACCTGGATCATCTACCGCACCCCCATTTACGTGTCGCGCGGTCAGGTGAGTTGGGATCATCTAGGATCCCCTAGAAAGCCTCCATTTAAAACCCCATTAACTCTTTCCCTACTCTGCAGGTTCAGGTGTTTCGCAATTTGCAATCGTGTCCCAAAGATGAGTCCAAAAAGATAGTCAACAATTATCGCGAGATCCAGCGGCCGCACAAGGACCCGGAGATCTTCTTCGCCCGCAACACCAATCCGAATCCAAAGTCCAAGTTATGATGTGCTTGCCATGCGATAAAATCTACGATCTAACCAGCTGCACTCCCAACTTTCCCCCCCTTCCCATCCAATCAATCGCCTGTGAAAAGTGAATCCTAACTAAACTATTTCTATATGTACGCCTATATCTTTGTCTATGGTTGTCTGTAAGCTGCTTTTGTTATTTGCCTCATGTACATAGCGTTATATACCTAACAAACATACATATACATATATATAATATACTATATATACGGAGTAATTACGATACGGTTACGTGTATGGAATCATTTTAGTCGGAACACGCGGTTGCCTTGCATTGAATATTTCAGAGAAATATCGGGCACAACTACTTAAGACATCTAAAAGAGACGTAATCCTAACGTTTAAGTTAATTAGTTAAACAGTGAAAGCGAGAAATCGAGAAAAGCAAAAGCAAACCAACACACACACATTTTGTATGTCCCAACTGAATTTATTAAATATCTAATTAAACATGTAAAAAGGTGTATACTGTATCAAAAAACATACTTAAATACGAGTTTAAATCCTTTGTCACATATTTTAATCTATCACGTTTGGCTGCTTAGTTTCCAAAACCCAAACCCATCTCATTTCTCGAGTAGCAGGGGCACGAGATTCTTGATAAACCAAGCTTTGGATATGGCCAAGTGATCACCTTCGACGCCCAGAAAGACTAGTTTTCCCTCGCGCTCCATCCTCTCCAATTTCAACTGTGTTGGGGGGAAAAGAAAGAATTTAGATCTACGAAAATATGGAAAAAATATATCAATACATCTTGGTACGCTTTGCTCTCGTTGAGCGGCTGGATGATTCTGTCCTGGCCGCTGGTGTAGAACTGAAACCACTGCGACTCCTTCGGCTGGACAATCGTGTCGTTCAGGAACATTACCATCACAAATCTGCAAGGGATATTATATTAGATATTATTTTACTTCAAGCTATCCAACTTACTTCTTCAGCTTGTGGAGATTCTCCACGTAGAACGTGTTTAAGTACAGCTCATTGTTGATGTCGGCGAGGAATGTGCTGCCCAGGCGGTAATGGTTCTCCATGATCGGATCGTGCCAGTACGTCGCCTGCACCAGATTTTGTTGGACCTCCCTATGAAAAATGAAAATAAACATCGTTTAGAAAGAGACGGAGAGAACTCGAAACGTATCGAGTAACATAAACATAAGCAATCGGATCCGGATCCCTAAAATTGACTGACCTAAGCTTTATTTTTCAAGTTTATTGGTTTAGTAACTCTTTTTCCTGGGAAAACATTACACTTCTGTTTAGCTTTTGTATAAAGTTGCCGAAAAAGATATTGCATGCCTTTCATTTTCTAACAGAAATACCTATTTCATACAATTCTTATGGATCCGATATAAAATCTGATCCATAACTCTGTCTACTTTACTATTATAGGACTGGAAACCATATTTTTTCGGTGATATGAATGTAGATGACATCTTTTGAAGCTTATTAATAGAATTATTTCCGATCTGTATGCAGAATTTGATCTACGTTACTATTATAGGACCAAAAACAAACTTATCCCGTGGATATGAACTTAGTTAATACAATAAATTTAAATTTCGATGCACATAACTAATCTATTTTACTAATATGGGGACGGAAACAATATTATTTCGAAAAAAAAAACTAAAATGAAGTCTTTTGGAGCTTTTTTGATACAATAATTTTGGATCTGGGTGCAGAAACCTATCTGTTTTACTAGGATGGAACCGGAAACCATATTTTCCGATGATATGAAGCCAGATTAAATCTTTTTAAGGGCTTAGTAATGAAATAATTTCGGATCTATATGCAGAATATCATCCTTTATACCTCCTATCTTACTATTTTCTGACCAGAAAACATACTTTTTCCTATGATATTAGATGATTAGACGATGCGAACTCGGATTAAATGTTCTTAAGGGCTTAGTAATGAAATAATTTTGGATCTGGATGCAAAATCTCATCCTTTATACCACACATCTTACTATTAAGCCATAGGAACTATGACAATAGATGGCTAGAAGGACCAGGACTCACTCCGAGTAGGCGGCACCGTTGAGGAGCCGGCTGAGGTAGTCGCAGGTACTCCGGCTGAGGGTGGGGCACATGGGCAGCCCGAAGACGCCCTGGTGCTGGCCGCCCAAAGTGATGAGCGTGCGCATCGGCGGATGGGGGCAGCGCTGGGCCACCGCCCGCAGGAACTGGCCTCCCTGCGAGAAGCCGATGGCGTTGTAGCCCTTGGCCAGCCGCTCGTCCTGCAGCAGCTGCTGGCAGACGTACTGCACCTGCTGGTCGGGATGGATGAAGAAGCCGCTCTGCCAGTCCATCACCGGATTCCCGCCGATCTCCAGGGAGCGCACATAGGCGCCCTGCGTCTGCTCCACGATGAGCTTCATGATGGAGCCCAAACTGAAGGGCAGGCAGCAGGTGTCGCCCATTCCGTGCCACAGGACGACGGGCAGGACGTCCGGATTCTCGCCGCCCTCCTGGCTCCGCCACCAAATCCTGCCCAGGGCCAGGGCCAGCAGTAACAGGAAGAGCCATAACTTCCAGCCCATTTTTGGCAAGCCCACTTTTGGTAATAATTAAAAGATATATAAAAACAAAGAGCGGCGCCGGAGTGATAAAATCGCAACAGCTGTGACCAGTATTGGGGGTATTCCCCTTCCTGGGCTCATTTGTACCTAGCGATGGCCGAAAGTACCGATATTTCGTGCGCAAATACCGATACTTAAATCAATTAGGGGAATTCCCTAGACCGCTTTAAATTCTTTATTTAAATTTATATAAATTTTAAATTCTAACATTTCGGTCACCTGTTGATCGGCTGTTTAAAACTTTGTTGAATCGTTGAAAACCACAGTTGTCAGCTTATTTTATTAAAAGTCATGTCAACTTTGTAACATTTAAGTATCACCAGTACGCATTACCTACTTTAAAATCAAATTCGAAAGTATATTTGTAGCTCTTCTTACCTTGCTAACAATTTTACACAGTAACTAAAAATAAAAAGGACTAATTTTACATGTTCTATGTTCCGCCAAACTTCTCAACATGAAACATCTGTTTAAAAATTGAACCAAACATTGTTATAAATTTAAATGTTTATATTTAGGTACTTGTTTATGTACTCCGCACAGGTACATAAACCAAATACCTTTGCCAACACTGGCGGCATGCAGAAATTCAACAACATAGGGGAATACCCCAACTGGTAAATGGTAAACAAACGCAAAACAGCTGATGGCACAAGCATTTTAGTTTTTTCCCGTTTAATTTCCTGTGAAAACCTCCCAAATGAAACTTAAGAAACCGGTTCTTGTTATAGATTTAATTGCGTTTTAAAGTTCCATCATGAAAGCTATTTTACTAAAGCGTGGTAATATAAAACTATCCCTCGAGGAGTGCGATTTGGAACGAACTCTGCTGGGAGGTCAAAGTTTTCGGTAGGTTGCCTAAAAAAATAATAATATTGTTATAAATTTTAAAGAAAAACCTTACTTTTCAGCTGGCGTTCAATTTGTGATGGCAGTAGAACGAAATATTCCGGAGTTGTTTTCAACATTTACTGGGTTCTCGAGCCAGAAGAGTCCTTTATAAGTTTTGAGGCCTACGGAGCAACTCCTTTGATCCCAGTGGACTACACATCTTTAATATCCGATTATCTGCGGGCTGATTTCGATTTGAAAGTCAACCAAAAAGATTGGTTAAACAGGGATGAGAACTTTGTAAAGTTCCTAAGTAAACCCGTACGCGTTCTTTCCCAGGAGCCATTCGAGAACATTTTCAGCTTCCTTTGCAGCCAAAATAATAATATCAAGAGGTATTATCAATCAGTAAAATTATTCCATCATTAAATTAAATTTCTTGCAGGATATCATCTATGATCCAATGGTTCTGTGCTACTTTTGGCGCCAAAATTGGCCATTTCAACGACTGCGATGAGTTCGCCTTTCCCACACTCAACAGATTCCAGGACATCTCGTGCGACGATCTAAATGCCCAGTTGAGGGCCGCCAAATTCGGCTATCGGGCCAAGTTCATAGCCCAGACTCTGCAGGAGATCCAGAAGAAGGGGGGACAGAACTGGTTTATAAGACTGAGGGGTTTGCCGTTTGAAAAAGCGCGCGAAGAATTGACCCAACTACCCGGAATCGGCTACAAAGTGGCCGATTGCATCTGCCTCATGTCAATGGGCCATTTGGAGTCCGTGCCCGTGGACATACACATCTACAGGATTGCCCAGAAATACTACCTGCCACATCTCACGGGTCAGAAGAACGTATCGAAAAAGATCTATGACGAAGTTTCCAATCACTTTCAAGAGATACACGGAAAATACGCTGGTTGGGCTCAAGCAGTAAGTTCACTTGACTCGGAATTATTGTTTGCATGATCCTCTTATTATATCATCATTGCAGATTCTTTTCTCTGCGGATTTAGGACAATTTCAAAACACATCCACTGTTGATTGTACAACAAAATCAAGTAAAAAGCTTAAAAAATAATCATTTTTGTAGTCTTGGTTTTTAAGGGCAATATTGCTGGTTTCTAAGAACTTCAATAAAAATTGAAACAAAATTCATGTTTTTACATTCTTTTTTATTGCTAAACAAAAATCCTTATACAGATGTAAATGGTTAAATAAAATGCACATTAAATGTCCGTTATATACATCGCCATTTTTATGTGTACAGTGATCGCTCAAAATAGGAATTTTGATATTCGAAATTTTGGGAGTGCAGTTTTCGAAATATAGTAAAAATGGTATGCAGGTTTCAAAGTACAGAAAATATAAAAAAAAAGAAAAATTCATTACATTCACTCAAAAAAAAATTAATCGCCCTGAATTTTAGAAAATCGCCTATGGATTTGCTTAACTGTCGATTTTTTTCTTTAAAATAAAAACAATTTTCTACTGGTAAAGAAAATTTTCTTCAAATTAATCAAAATTTAAGAAATGTTCCAGAAATATAGAAAATAATTGCCAGAAAAGCAAATCCATTGGCGACTTTCTAAAATTTTTTTTTGATATTTTAAAAATAAAAAAAAAGTTATTAAATTTTCGATTACATGTTCTACATGTTTTAGATAAAGTTCTACGCTTTGAAAAGGGAATTTCGAATAGAAATACACTAAGGCGAGTGAGCACTGTACGAGTGTGAGTAGCTGTATCCTTATTCGTTCCAATCCCTATAAATATCCTTGTCTAAAGGACACCATTCGCTTCCGCTGATCCTGCGGCCCCCTGATTGCTCTGCTGCTGCTGCTGGAGCTTGCTGCTCTGCGAGAAGTCAATGCAGGCGCCGGAAGTGAGATCGATCTCCTCGGAATCGGAGCCATCGGATCCCTCGTCCGAGTGGCCGGAGAGGGCGTCCATTCCGCCCAGCTCCATGCCGTGCGTGGGCGCCTTGTAGAGCTTCAGTTCCGTGTAGGTCTTCGATAGCTTCTCCTGATCCTGGGCCAGCTGGTGGCCGTGCTGCTGCTGCTGTTGCTGCTGCTGCTGCTGCTGGAATGCCGGATGCATCATGGTGAAGCTACCGGAACTGGGTCCATTGCTCACCTCCCCCAAGTCGGAGTCCTTGCCGGAGGAGGAGGATAGGTTCTCGGGCGTCTGGCTGTTGGGACGAGGAGGAGCTCCGGAGGCAGATCCCCCCTGCACCGACCCGCCGCCCATGACGGGGGGCGTGCCCAGGCTGAGGCACCGCATCCGCCAGGCGTCCTGCAGCAGCTGCAGGCGCGCCTGCTTGCGCCACTTGGCCCGCCGATTCTGGAACCACACCTGCCGATCACAAGGTGGAAAAGCGTTTAATAAAAGGTACTTATGATATATTTCTTTTATTTTTAATTTTTGAAATTATACTCGATGAAGTGACTTTAGTTTTAATTAATGTTAAATTTTTTAGGAGTATTTCTTTCTCATAACATGACTCAAATTAACATTTATTTATATTACCTACTATAAAAAATGATACTTTTTTACACAGATTTTTAAAAAACATAATTTCTTATTTTTTAATCCCCAAAAGAAAATATTCACATTTAATAATTTGCATAGTTTATCAAAGAATTTTAATCAAGTTTATAGTACTCTTATTTTATAATTTAAAAAGTTACTGGTGAAATAATCAAGCAAACGTTAAATACATAAAATATTTTATAACATTTTTTAATGTCGAATTTTTCTTCGAAATTAAAAATTATTCTTCAGACAAAAAAAAATGAATATTTATTTAATCAATATAAAACTAATAAAAGAAAGGGAAACAGTAAGATGCTTTACAAAAATATATTCGATCCATAAGCAATATAAAATAAAAAGTTTACATAATTTAATCAATAAACAAAATCAAATCAGAAATGGACCCCAAAAAGTATGCTACTAATTTTGAATTTCGGAAATCCTTTGATGCTGATCACTTCGGATCGCGATAGGTCGGTAGGTTGGCCAACTGGCTGGATACTTTGCCTGCTCTTTAGGGGGATTCACCTGGACGCGTGCCTCGCTGAGGCTGATCCTCAAAGCGACCTCCTCGCGCAGGAAGACGTCGGGATAGTGGGTCTTCTGGAACAGGGCCTCCAGCTCCTGCAGCTGCTGGGGGGTGAAGGTCGTCCGATTCCGGCGCTGCCTCCTCCGGCCGAACATATACTCCGTGAGCAGATCGCCGGGCAGCGGCGATATAAACGGACCAGCCATTATAGGCGTTTTGTTTTAGTTATTCAATCTCTTTCTGGGATTTCTTATTTTTTTTTATATTTTCCAGAACTGTTCTCAGTCCTCCGAAGATATTTTTAAAGTATACTTTTTCTACGGTATTTTGAAATTTATAAATGATCAAAATATTCGTACATTTAATATTTCTTTAACAAAATTCTCCACCCAAAAAAATATATTTTTTTAATTTCGACTTTTTCTATATGGTAGATTGCATTTTATGTATTTTCCACTTTTGATTACTAGAAAATATTGTGTTTTTTGTTTGTTTTATATCATTTATTTATGTTTAGCAATTTTTTGTCTTATTTTTCATGTTTTTTTCACTCACGGCACACAAAACAAAAAAAGGAATTTTTGAATTTTGATTTTTCAAATCGTTGCCAGTTGGCGCCACCAAAAAAATATATATTTTTAAAGGCGATGAAATTGTTTTTAGTTTAATTTTATCGAAGAGCTGTTTTTCGCTGAGCGTTTGGCCAGCGACTGTGGAAATGCAGGCAGCATCCTGCGGCTTTTATGCAGCTGCCAAAGGACTTGGGCTAATATATACGTGCAAGTGTTTCAGTGTGTGTGTGTGTGTGAGGGTGCGCCTGCGACTCGCTTTATAATTAAGGAGCTTACCCACACAGTTTGAAATCCGGTTAACTGTTGCTGTAAAAACGGAATAAAGTTTAAATTAAAAAAAATTAAATTTATATTTATTTTATACATTTATTATTTATTTTTTATATTAAAAAATAAAGTGTTTTTTCTTCATAGAAATACCTTTTGGCCTGCTCTCTTGCCTTCTCACTCGCTCTGACTATCTCCATCTCCCTCTCTCCTTCCTTGGCCACGCTGCGCAGCCTCCGATTGTTAATCTCGCTCTCTCATTTGTTGCAGCCAAAGCTTTCTCCCTTTTCTCCTTTCTCCCCGGCTGGTCGTTGTTTATTGTCTTCTCGTTTTGACTTCGTTAAATTACGGCACAAGCACAAAAACCTCATAAGCGTTGTTGTTCTGACGAACAGTGGGCTAAAACTAGAGAAAATAAGGTAGAATTTTTAAATTAAAAAAAAAACGATTATACCAATAGTTTAATTTTGTGTGTTGTGAAGACATGTTATATCAATAGCGCAGATTAAGATCAAAGAGACAACCAAAAATTAATGATAAGGTCTATTTTAAAACATCCCAACTCAACTTTGGATCCGTAATAAAAATATAATTTAAGTTTTTTAACTTTTTATATTTTTAGAAATATTTGTTTCCCTTGTTAAGTATTTTTTTAAGTTCTTTTTATACTTAAACCCTAGTTTTATATTATTCTTTTATTTATTTTTCATATTTTTAAAAAAATTGAAATCATTTTTTAAAACCCTTTATCTTTATGTTATTTTTTACCTATTTGTTCCACTGTGCCGCCTTCGCCTGCATTGTTTCGTATATGAAAATGTACCTGTAAATAATAAAATTCAAATCACTTAATGCTGTCGGCAGCGGCGTTGGCAGCGACGCCGACTTCGGCAGAAGGACAATGACAATAAGGCAACACCCCGCACACACACACACACGTACGCAGGGGTGGTGGGGGAGAGGTGAGTGGGGATAAGAAGGAAGAGCAAGCACAAAGGGCGCATAAGAAAATGAGGTTGCCACCACAGCTGATGATGAAGATGAGGGCGGAGAGGGGGGTAAAAGAGGAGGGGGGGGGAGTACAAAGGGGAGGGGGAAAACAATAACAATGACTGTCTCTCCTTCTCCTCTCCCCTTCTTCTGTGTGTGTGTTAAACAAATGAAGGGATGTAATTTTCTCATTTGCCTGGCATTGTGCTTTGTTTTTGTTTCGCCTTTTTCGCTTCGCTTTTTTTTTGCGGTGCGCTTGCGCTGGAAATTATATTTATTTATTATTTATGAAGAATAGGCGTGGCACTCCGCCCCCCGCCGCCCCCCGGCCCCCTTATTCGCCACCTGCCGTCGCTTTTGTGTGCCGCCTTTTATTTCATTTGCTTCCTTTTGCCAACAAGCCAATCATAAGCGAGAGCAGATGTCCCTGTGTTGGTGCCTTTATCGCTGTGTGTGTGTGAGAGTGCTCGTCGTGTGTGTGTGTGTGTGAGGGTTGACCAGGATAACGAGGATAACGAGCTGAAAACAACTGACAGCGTGACGTTGACAGGCTCTTTCAAATTAAGCGAAATTATCACAGAAATGTTGCATTGTTTCAGCCATGTTTATCATTTTCAAATTACTTTTCCCTTTGCCCTACGGTAATTATTTACTTGTGGAATTTCTTAAAAAATTTTAAAATATTTCATGAAATCCAATTATAGAGTTGTTATTAATTAAGTTATTAATTTCAGAAAATTAAGGACCATTTTGGCCAAGATAAGATAGCAAAAAAACAAACAGAAAAAAAGGCAATTTTTTGTCAAAAACCCAGATCCCAATTTTTCACAAAAAAATAATTAGTTTTTTGGCCGTAACAATGGAAATATAGATCCAAATATGGATTGTCATACCATTCTGAACTCGTTATTAAATTTCCAGTCGATTGGCATTTCAACCCGGCCATTTTATTTTTTGGCCATTTTTCGCAAAAAATCATGATGTACGCCCTTACAAAAAAACTGAAAATTGGCAAAAATTTTATTTTTGCAGGATCACCCGGAAAGTGTTATGGATTTTTTTATTTTTTAGTTATCTGTTCAAAACAGTATGCAGTTTTGGTGTAGGACCATATTTGGCCAAGTTATAGCAAAAAAACAAACAGAAAAAAATTCAAAATTTTCCCAAAAACCCAGATCCAAATTTTTCACAAAAAATACTTCGTTTTTTTGCTGTTACAATGGAAATATTGATCCAAATATGGAATGTCATACCTTTCTGAACTCGTTATTAAATTTCCTAACGATTGGCATTTACACCTTGACATTTTATTCATTTTTAATTTTTCTCAAAAAATCATGGGGTACCCCCTTATAAAAAAATTAAAAATTGGCGAAAATTTTATTTTTCCAAAATCACACGGAAAGTTTTATGGATTTATAGCAAATTTTGTTATCTGTTCAAAACAGTATGAATTTTTGGTGTAGGACCATTTTTGGCCAAGTTACAGCAAAAAAACCAAAAGAAAAATTCCAATTTTTGTCAAAAACTGAAATTGCGAATTTCAAAAAAAAACCAAACCCGTTTTTTCGCTAAAACGTTGCAGTTTTTTCGCTATAACAAAGCAAATACTGATTCAAAGTATGGAATGTCATACCTTTCTGAACTCGTTATTAAATTTCCTAACGATTGGCATTTAAACCTTGACAATTTATTCATTTTTAATTTTTCGCAAAAAATTATGGGGTACCCCCTTATAAAAAAATTAAATATTGGCGAAAATTTTATTTTTCCAAAATCACACGGAAAGTTTTATGGATTTATAGCAAATTTTGTTATCTGTTCAAAACAGTATGTATTTTTGGTGTAGGACCATTTTTGGCCAAGTTACAGCAAAAAAACCAAAAGAAAAAATTTCAATTTTTGTCAAAAACTGAAATCCCGAATTTCCAAAAATAAAAAACAAAACCGGTTTTTTCGCTAAAACAAAGCAAATACTGATTCAAAGTATGGATTGTCATACCTTTCTGAACTCGTTATTAAATTTCCTAACGATTGGCATTTAAACCTTGACAATTTATTCATTTTTAATTTTTCGCAAAAAATCATGGGGTACCCCCTTATAAAAAAATTAAAAATTGGCGAAAATTTTATTTTTCCAAAATCACACGGAAAGTTTTATGGATTTATAGCAAATTTTGTTATCTGTTCAAAACAGTATGAATTTTTGGTTTAGGACCATTTTTGGCCAAGTTACAGCAAAAAAACCAAAAGAAAAATTCCAATTTTTGTCAAAAACTGAAATTGCGAATTTCCAAAAAAAAACCAAACCCGTTTTTTCGCTAAAACGTTGCAGTTTTTTCGCTATAACAAAGCAAATACTGATTCAAAGTATGGATTGTCATACCTTTCTGAACTCGTTATTAAATTTCCTAACGATTGGCCTTTAAACCTTGACAATTTATTCATTTTTAATTTTTCGCAAAAAATTATGGGGTACCCCCTTATAAAAAAATTAAATATTGGCGAAAATTTTATTTTTCCAAAATCACACGGAAAGTTTTATGGATTTATAGCAAATTTTGTTATCTGTTCAAAACAGTATGTATTTTTGGTGTAGGACCATTTTTGGCCAAGTTACAGCAAAAAAACCAAAAGAAAAAATTTCAATTTTTGTCAAAAACTGAAATCCCGAATTTCCAAAAATAAAAAACAAAACCGGTTTTTTCGCTAAAACAAAGCAAATACTGATTCAAAGTATGGATTGTCATACCTTTCTGAACTCGTTATTAAATTTCCTAACGATTGGCATTTAAACCTTGACAATTTATTCATTTTTAATTTTTCGCAAAAAATCATGGGGTACCCCCTTATAAAAAAATTAAAAATTGGCGAAAATTTTATTTTTCCAAAATCACACGGAAAGTTTTATGGATTTATAGCAAATTTTGTTATCTGTTCAAAACAGTATGAATTTTTGGTTTAGGACCATTTTTGGCCAAGTTACAGCAAAAAAACCAAAAGAAAAATTCCAATTTTTGTCAAAAACTGAAATTGCGAATTTCCAAAAAAAACCAAACCCGTTTTTTCGCTAAAACGTTGCAGTTTTTTCGCTATAACAAAGCAAATACTGATTCAAAGTATGGATTGTCATACCTTTCTGAACTCGTTATTAAATTTCCTAACGATTGGCCTTTAAACCTTGACAATTTATTCATTTTTAATTTTTCGCAAAAAATTATGGGGTACCCCCTTATAAAAAAATTAAATATTGGCGAAAATTTTATTTTTCCAAAATCACACGGAAAGTTTTATGGATTTATAGCAAATTTTGTTATCTGTTCAAAACAGTATGTATTTTTGGTGTAGGACCATTTTTGGCCAAGTTACAGCAAAAA